TTGTTATGTTTTCGGCTGGATGCTTTTCCAAGAATTTTCTAGCGCTTCCTCTTGTTTTTAGGTTCCCAGATTTCCCCCAAAAATTGGTAACCTTTTGCTAACCTATGGAACTTTCAAAGGCTTTTCCAATATTTTCCTAGGAATGCTCTAGGCTTTGTCTAGATGTTGTTACGTTTTCGGTTGGATACTTTTGCCTGAATTTTCTAGCGCTTCCTCTTGTAAGGGTTCAGCATCACGGGGTTCATGCAAGCGATGACGTCCGATGGTAAATCTGGGAGGTACCCAAAAAGTCGACTTTTTGGGTACCTGCTTTGGTGGTGATGGGTTGGGTCACCGGGAGAAACCGATCGATTCAGCACAAGTCCGGGCGCCGAGTCGACTTTTTGGGTACCTGCTTTGGTGGTAATGGGTTGGGTCGCCGGGAGAAACCGATCGATTCAGCACAAGTCCGGGCGCCGACACTTGTGGCACTTGAATGTACCTAGACCATGGGCAGCGCCCTGCGGCCCCACAGGCCGCAGAACCCAACACGTCACGGGGTTCACGCAAGAGCTCACGTCCGATGGTAAATCGGGAGGTACCCAAAAAGTCGACTTTTGGGGCACCTGCTTTGGTGCTGGGTTGGGTCTAAATTCTTGGGCAATGATATCCTTGAGGGTTCAGCATTACGGGGTTCATGCAAGAGATGACGTCCGATGGTAAACCTGGGAGGTACCCAAAAAGTCGACTTTTTGGGTACCTGCTTTGGTGGTGAAGGGTTGGGTCTAAATTGTTGGGCAATGATATCCTTTATGGGGAGGAGGGCTCCGCATCACGGGGTTCATGCAAGAGATGACATCCGATGGTCGATCTGGGAAAAAATACCGCGGTCCACCCACGCACGGCTGGCCCAGCAGCTCCCTTCCGTGGCCTTTTGTCTCGCAGGCGTTCCCTTTGGCGACTGCGTCGCGCGAGCACGGGACACTGCGCGGCACGCGTCCGGGCAACGTCCTTCCTCCCACCGTGGAACCACCCGCTTCCACACCCTTCCGTCCCCCCCCCCCGGCCTACCGCACTGCAGACATTCCGCCACGCGCGCGTGCCGCCCGCATGTACATGGCTACGGTCTCTTCCCTCGCTGGCGCGAGAACCTCGCCACCACCTGCCCAAGCTTCCGTTTGCGCTGCTCCGTCCTAGAACCAACACGCCACATGGCGCGGACACGGGCGCCTGACAGGCATGCGAAAATCTTACCAGAGCCTTTCACGTTACCACGGGCACTGGCCGGACCTTGTCCAGCGCAAAATCTAAACAAAGCCTAGAGCAGTCCTAGGAAAATTCCAGGGCTTTTGCCGGGAGCACTAGAATCAAATAGGTTAACAATAGATTAATCAATTTTGATGGAAATCTGGGAACCTAAACACAAGAGGAAGTCCTAGAAAATTCTACAACAATGGAAGAAAATAGGTTCGCAATTTTCTACGCATACCTGGGAAATCCTACAACCCCCCTTTACAACAAACCCCGGGTCCGGAAAGGTAAAAAAGTAAGGTCTGAGTCTAAGTCTAAGGCTAAGGCTAAGGCTATGGCTAAGGCTAGGCTAAGGCAAGGCTAAGGCTAACATAGAGCAAGGCTAGCGCTAAGGTTCTATCCCTTGGGGGTCGGCGGCTGCAGGGGGTAGCCTGGTAAATCCGGGCGCCGGCCACGGGCCCGTGTCCTTGCCGGAGGCCTTCGGTTGGTAACCGAAGGTTATAGACGGGCGCGCCGGCTGCCGCCGACCCTCGTCACGAAAACGGGGGGACCCCGTCGTCACTACCGGGTCACTGAAGCCCCTGTAATTTACAGTGTATCGTGTGTGTGAGGTATAAAAAACACTGTGTTTTACAGGGTTTCGGGCCCCTCGGCAGCCGAGAATTTCAGCTTGGCGATGTCAAAAAACGTAGGTTTTTCCAGTGTTTTTGCTTTGCGGGAAGGAAAAATCGTAAAAAGTTGTCTCGGAAGATTTGGTCAACATAAATTGCCTAACATGTTCCCAACATAGGCCCCAGATAGCCAACATATCCTCAACATATGCCCAACATAGCCTCCAAAATGGCTCAACATAGGGCCAACATAGGCCAAGATGGGGCCAACATACGCCAACATAGGCCCAACGTAGGCTCAACCTAGGCCAACATAGGCCAACATAGGCCTAACGTAGGCCAACATAGGCCCAACATAGGCTCAACATGGGCCCAAGATGTGCCCTTTGTAGCCAACATATCCCCAACATCTGCTCAACATAGCTAACAAGATGGATCCACGTAGGGCCAACATAGGCCAACATGGGGTCTCCCTCCGATCCATCGTGCACGGCCCACTCCACGTTCTCCGACTGTGTCAGGTCGTTCCACGTGGCGCCCTGCGCCGAACGCTGCCGAACGACGTTCTGCAGCACGCTGGGCAGCGCATGGGCGTCCTTCAGCGCCGTCGCCAACATAGGCTGGTTGCCCGAGATGGACGGTCCCAAGATGCCTGTCAGCCGGCGGAAGAAGTCGGCGATCTCGCCGGAGGCGCGCAAAGCTGCGTCCAACAGCGTTGGCTCTGGGGGTGCCGCCGGGAGCACCGCTGCCGCTGCAACCACGCGATCTCGCACATCCTGCTCCGCCCAGACGCCCACCTCACTGTTGCGACGGCGGGCGCGCCCCCCCCCTCCACAAACACCTTTTTTTATATACAACTTTTACATTAAAATAAAAAATATCCTTCCAATGTTCATCTTTTTCACCCCTTTCGGCTTGCTGTCCTGGTTCCCTCACTCCCGCCTTCTCCGTCGTCTGGCCATAGCCTGACCGATCTCCTCGGCGACCGCAGGCGGGAGCGCTTCTGTTGCCTCTGGCCTCTCGTGGTTGCCCTCGAAGTGGTTTCGGACTTCGTTGGCGCCTTGGAAAAGAAGTTGTTGCTTCTTTCTGCTTTTGCAGAACAAGCACGAGAGATAGCCCTCCCGTCGGGTCGCTTCTCTCAGGCCTTGCACCGTGAAGATCTCCACCTCTGCCCGAGTCAGGCCCTCATACCAACTTTGCCCCGTCGCCACTGCCATTATCCGCTCCAAGCCTTCCGGAGTGATGGTCCTCTCCAGTGGCGGCACCTCCCCCTTGTTTGCCGCAGGTTCGGTCGCCGCGCTCGGTGTCTCCTGCAACTGCGCGACGCGCTGCTGCGCTTCGGCGCTCGGCGCGGCGCTGCTGCTCGGCGCTTCCAGGGGCGGCACGCTCGGCGCTTCGAGGGCAGGAGTGCCAGGCTGTGGCTCCGGCTGAGCTACGCTCTGCGCTTCTGCCCGCTGTGTCGCGATGGCTCCCAGGGCGACCGGTAGGAAACCTCCAGCCCCATGCCCGGGTGGCGGCATACCTCGTGCCACTAGTGGTGAACATGTAGTGACCATCCACTGGAAATTCCTCCCCCAAGCATGTGCGCCCACGTCGGTCGCGCTCGGCTTTCCCCTGCTCCTGGAAAAGGTAGATGTCTGCCCACAAAAACTCGCAGAACAACAGGTATCGCTTCAGGTGACTCTGCGACGTGCCCAGCGCATGTCCCACCGCTCTGGCTAAGAGCGGGTGCTTCGCGGACGCGTGCCAAATGTTCCCCTGGAAGATATGTTTGCGGTTTTGTCCAATGCTGAGGAGGAGGTGCGGGACTTGCGACAAAGCTCGCACCTCCGTGGGCGGCGCGACGCGCTGGCCCGAGGACTGCGCGACGCGGTGTCCCTCCAAGCATCTCTCTCCCTCCGCATAAATCTCTTCCAGGTTGTGCTCCACGGCTGCAGCAACGCCATCTTGATCCAAGTAACTTCCACCCTCTTTCCACAAGCGAATATACCGCCACAGGTCCGCCCTATGGGCAGGTTGCTGAAAGCTCTCATAGCGCGCGAGGAGCGCAGAACCGCACAAGCTCTGGATGTCTGCGACGCACTCTGCGTCTCCGACAAAATGTCTTTCCAACCCTTGGGTAAACTGTGCCTTATTGGCTGCAGCTTGTGGGCGATCCTCCCGGTTCGTCTGGAACAACTTCGGCGGTGCCAAGTCCAAGGCCTGTGCCGTCTTGGCCCATGCCCGCTTCTTGCTAGAGTGCGCCGAGCAGGCCCAAAGGAACTCGCTCCACGTCTGCGTCTCGCAGAGCTGCTTCACGACAAATGCCTCCTGCAAATTCTCCACCTCGCTGCAGTTCCACCCGGCACAGATCACCACGGCGACCCAAGCCCCGCTGCCCCCGGTTGAGCGACGCTCTGACGCGGGGGCTCCCTCAGCGCCGGCTGAGCGACGCTCTGCTCGACGCACTTCCAGCTCGGCTCGCGCCGCCTCTACTACCCGCTCCATGCTCTCCGACGCGCAGGCAGGCAGAAAGTGCAAGGCCTTTTTGGCCTCTCCATAGGCACCAGGGACATCTCCAAGATGCTCTTGCTCAACTCCGGCACGCCACATGCCAGCCGCGAGGGCCTCATACCGTGCCCCTCGCACGGAGTCGCGGGCTGGCACCACGCCCACTTCCACCTCCACGTCCCCTCCATGGGTCTCTTCCCCGCCGTCCAAGACCCATTGCATGAACTGGTCGAGGATGTTCGTGCCATCCTTCTTGCCAGGCTTCACAATGCTGCCCCCACTGACGATGCTCGCAACCGTCTCCACGCCCCCACACTTGCGAAAATCCATCGCAGCGTCTCCCAACTTTTGCCCGGGCAACCAACCGTAGCCCGTCGAATCCACCAACACCACCGTGAGCGACGCTCTCGGTATGTCGGCTGCGCGCACCGCGGCGCCGCCGGTCTCCATGGCTTCAGCCGACGTCACCGTCGGCGATGCGCTCGGTGCGTCGCGTGCACTCTCGGTCTCCATGGCTGAGACCCAGAGGAGAGAAAAAAGAAGTCGAGTGTGCTTGGTTGCTCTTGCTCTCCTACGCTAGCGGTCTCCTAGCTTCGTCCTCTGACTCTCAGAGTTCGACGCTGGTTGCTTCTGGTGTCTTGGCGTTGAGGGCTTTGTTGCTCTGCTTTGCACGTGCTCCTGCCCTGCTCACACGCCCCCCCGCTGAAACCGAACACAAAATGCAAAAAAAGGTCAGGTGTGCTTGGTTGCTGTTGCTCTCTAACCCTAGCCGTCTCCTAGCTTCTCTTGCACTCTACTCTTTGCCGTCCTATCACTCTGAGAGTTCAGCGCTGGTTGCTTCTGGTGTCTTTGGGTTGGAGGCTGTTTCTGGCTTGCACATGCTCTTGCTCTGTTCACAGGCTCGCCTGTTGTTGAGCCCACGTCTCGCCAGTCTCTCTATCTGTCCCCTTTCCGGTGTCGACTGTTTGTCCCCTTTCCGGCGTCGACTGTTTCTTGCTAACTACTCTCTGCAGCATGCTGTCCAAGTCCTTTGCCACTCTACGTCTCCACCTTGCGGCGTCGACGCCTCGACCCCCAACCTCTCCACCCCCGCCGGCCTTGCTGGCGCATCAACTTGCAGACAATGTCCTTGAGGGTGGAATGACGTCTGCCTCTCCTCACCAGGGCTGTGGCTGGCTGGCATGAGCGACGCTCTTGTTGCCAGCTGACAGCTGCCGCCTCCCCGCATGCATCGCGCTCCACGTGCCTCCTCTCTCTCCGACGGCTCTCCCGACTTTTGGTTGCTGCAAGCAACCAGGGCAGTCAGCCCCCGTCCCTCGGACGGGTGCTGCCGGGGTGCCCCAAACCCCGGCCCCCGTCTTCTCCATGGAAGACTCCGCGGAAACATGGCGGGTCCCTTCCCGACACCACACCTCGCCAACACCGCGAGCGACGCCTACCGTCACCTCGACCCACACCTCTCTTACCCTAGTACGCCGGCGCCCGGCTGTCAGGCGTAAGCCTTTAAATAAACCCATGCAACTGCTTATAAGAAATATCACTTAAGACCTTCCAGGTTCTTTCAGAGCACCCATGAAGCCAATCCAAATCAACCATAATTTCAACAAAAACTCCAAGTTCTCTGAGAATCTTGAATGCGTACTGACACGATCGCGGTTCGCCACAAGCCAACCTAAGTGAAAACCTAAGAGTCCAGATGAAACAAACCTGAAATTCGGAAAGTATGGAGCGGAGTTTAACCATTCTGAAATCCCAACAGCTCAACATTTGAACACCTCCATGTTGCGACTGCACGAAAGGTGAGGGCATTAGCACGTTACTGCAGAACCGAAGCCAAAAGCAAGATCTTGTTCTAATTACACCGGGACTGAGTGGGAAGTTCTCAAGTATAACGCAGGTACACATCAGGACGTCTCCCGATGCTTCACCAGAGAATGTGGAGGTCTTCGTCGGCAGTGATTCCACAAACTCTGTCACTGCCCCCCCTGCTAGAACAAATTCAAAGGACTCCCGAGGGTTTCACACACAACCATGTGTGTATATATACACATGTTTTATGATTTATATATGATTGCATCGACACATCACTCGAGCAGTGTGTGGTTGGGGCACGCAACCTTGGAAATTCTCTGTCGCAGCCACGGTGCATCAAGGAGAGGGTGACAGTCGGTAGCAAGCCCTCGGGCACCTCGACAGGCATAAATCAACCACACCAAACTAGAAAAGAGCGGTAGCACAATTTTCCAAAATTTCCTCACACGGAGCAAGGCAAGTGGAAAAACAGTGCTGAATGCCGGCTGAATGCAAATTGCTAAACCTCTCCCGCACCAAGGCTCCGAGAAAGAACGTAATTTTGGCGCCAACCTCGGCATCAAGGCCAAAAAGGAACGCCTCTCAAAGCTGCGCGGTATGCTATTGGCACATTCAAGCACTGAATCACAAGCAAAACTAAACCCTTTTTCCCCACATTGTCGTGTGGGGTTCTTGTTTTTTTGCTGCACCTCCTCGCTCCGCCTTCCTCCTTCCTCCTCCTCTCTGATGTACGCCCGGCTGGGCACCGGCGCTCTGACCCACACAACATCACTCACACAACATCTCACCCACAACATCACTCACACAACATCAC